GGTTATTTGGCGCGAAAGAAATTAATGAAACAGAACTTGTTGAATTATAAGCCAGGTGTTCGAAACTTGCAATGGGCAAGGGAGTACAAGGAAAAACTAAAAGCAAAAGAAGTTTCGAGACATCGAAGAAATCAAGGAATTTTGCGACAGTAAGTGGAATGTTAGAGGTTGTGTTTATATGGAAGCCGGACTGGCCCGCTTAACGAGGGAGCCCGCGGTAAGCCAGATCTCAAGGCTCTTTTCCACTCATCGCAAAAACAGCTCGCAGCAAGCTTGCGAGTCGCAGGTCAAGTTCCACACTTCATCTCGCGTGACTAATGTACGTTTTTGCAAAATGGCGGCCGCTTTAAATTGGCGCCGAAATTTCTTGTCCGTTCTAATCCACGGATAATTTTCCTGAGTGGAACTAGCCTTTATAGACGGCATAATCCATTTCATAACGTCGACTTCTCTGTTTATATTACATAATTACATTACATTACATTCCAATTCATTAATTGTGTACATATTTATACGTTTTGGGCATCTTTTTGTACATATTTTTTACAGTTTCAGTTTTAGGATACAATTCGTGTGTCTTATTTATGATTTGTCCTCTGCTTGCCTTTTATCTGTTGTCCTCTTGGGTAGCAATACAGCGTGTACGTTTGGCAAGACTCCTCCCCCGGGAATAATTACACCATCAAGCAGCTTGTTTAGTGTTTATATTACATAATTACATTACATTCCATTCCAATCATTAATTGTGTACATATTTATACGTTTTGGGCATCTTTTTGTACATATTTTTTACAGTTTCAGTTTTAGGATACAATTTGTGTGTCTTATTTATGATTCGTCCTCTGCTTGCCTTTTATCTGTTGTGCTCTTGGGTAGCAATACAGCGTGTACGTTTGGCAAGACTCCTCCCCCGGGAATAATTACACCATCAAGCAGCTTGTTTAGTTCTTCGTCATTACGGACACCCAACTGTATATATCGCGGGGTTATTCTACGTTTCTTGTTATCACGAGTAGCATTACCGGCCAACTCGAATATTTCTGCTGTGAGATATTCCAGGACTGCTGCCATGTAGACTGAAGCGCCTGTACCGATGTGTTTTGCGTATTTGCCCCTCTTTAGGTAGCGTTGAATACGAGCAACAGGAAATACAAGACCTGCTCTGGCTGACTTCGTTTTACTTTTGGCCCTTTTAGCTTTCTCCTTTCCACGTGCGGACATTTTAACGACTTCTGAAACTATAATGATGAACGTTTCTTAAATGCCGCAGCCTTCACTAGCGAAGAATATATGAAGATACCTACTAGCTAGGAGGCAACACCTATATGTACATGCTTCGCTCTGGAACCAGCCAGATGATATAGTATAAGACCAGCCTAGTCCCAGTCGTTCTGAAGCAAGCGCGAGAAAAAAAGTGGATGTAGTACGAGACTGGAACCTAGGTGTGATGTCACCGCTCAAGGTGCTTCAGAACGCCTAGCAGATTTCAGTATTTTCAATATGGCGGAAAATTTATATATACAAGTAACCTTTTAATTGTAAATACGACAATGTTCGTTCATCATGTACATGTTCGATGTCTACATAACCAAATCAAATTACTGTATTAAAAATGCGCTCAACTAAAAAAAATTATATACAAATTTACGATACCGAGTTTGAGCAATCGTTGATGTTATTTATGTACTCGCAAGTTGTGATCAACACTAGACCATACTGGTATACACAACTACGCTTTCTACTTGACAGGTTTAAATTGCTGAGGAGATTGGAAATATTTGCCTGACATGACGGTGTTGTCGAAACATTCTTAGTCAGAGAATCGGCATAATTTTCATGCTTCTAGATAGCATTTAATATGGCTATATATTTTAGTAAACACGAGTCATATTTAGCCCGTTATTCCATTCTGACCGTATGGCCGCGAAACGTAGCCTACTTCATTGTTTCGACAGATTAGAGCAAAACTAATGACTTAATTATAAATGCAAAGGAAATTTCCATAACATTTGCCATTTACAAATGAGGTATGCTTGGTAACCAGGCCAGGGACCACTTTTTTGAAATCAGGGACCATTTTACCGAAATCTGCTAGGCTCTCTCGCTGCAGCGTTCCGCACAGCACACCCAGGCATAAAACTTTTAAGACTTATTTAAATATATCAAAGCAGCGAATAGAAAGAGAGCCTGGGACTAGGCTGGTATAAGACCTTCGCAGTTTTCATTTTATAAGCGATGAAGCAATCTGCATTACTCTCCCCCTAATTCTTTTAAGAAGTAAATATTAAGCCTCATGGGGGAGAATAAAAAACAACACCTTTCCCTCTGGGCTTTAGGCTACAACGACCATAAAGAATTGAAAGTTTCCAAATGTCTTTTGTTTTGCCTTGGGGCTCAGGGTCTGCGTGCGCCATTGATTGTGTTTATGTTGAAGCTTATGTCGCAAGGTTCACCGCGTCTTTCTCATAGCTTATCTTACAGGGGTGTATAAAAAAAACTGAACCCTTTCAAATTCAAATTAGCTATAACGTATTGTACAGGGTGTCCCAAAAAACCCGAAAACCATTGAAATCACTTATTGTTAAAATTGAATGCCCTACCAAAAAGCTGAACGTAATGATGCGTAAAATATTGACAAGGTGCATGTATTAAAATTTAGTTAAGAACATCTCCTTGTAAAGTGTGCGGTTTTTTGCTCTTGGGAATCAAAAGCAGCTTCTTAAATAGTTTCTTTATGCATAAAATTTACTTATATCAATCATTTATGCACTCGTGGGAACCAACAGAGTGCTAAGGCATTCAAATTCTAACAATTAAATTGTTATTGGTGATTTCAATAGTTTTCGGTTTTTTGGGGACACCTCAGTACAAGCTCATTGTTAAAATGACACATTCGTGATTAATTGTTTTGTTATGCATTGCTTTAAGAGTCAAAATATGCGATTTCGACAAACGATTTTTGTCGGACTCGTATTTGCTCATTTTTTATCTATAATGGATGAAAAACATGCCATTCAACAGCCGAAAGCCTGATCTTTATGATTCTGAAAAAATTACGTTCATACACCGAGTAATTAACGTACAATGTCATGCTAAAGTTGCATTTTATACACCCTGTATATGAACCATTTGGCTTAAAAAGAAGGAAAAAGTCCTTTCGAAATATTTTTGTTTCGTCTTAACTTAAGGTGGCTCCCTAGGGTTTTATTTCCGTGGGTTACATTCTTCGTATATATGTAAACTAAAACTCATGTGACCACAGGGGGTCCAACCCACTGGAATGGCTTCAATTTCCGCCATGTTGGCTTCACTTTTTGAGCTCGAGTCAGCCTTCCATGTTATATAGTTCAGTGGTCCAACTAAGAGCTGTGTTATGAATATGAATAAAACATCATAACGTAATAAATTTAAATTATTGCACTTACTTGTATAAATCATAAGAGCTTGTATTTCCAGTGAATAGCTTCAAACAGGGCGCTTATATATGCTCAGAAACATTGATTAGAACGATTGTTCAAATATGGCGAATAAATTGACAAAACGAAAATATTACATGACGTTCCAACGAAAATAACAGAAAGGATTGCGGGCGCGCGAGAGAAAAGGCGAGGGAAGAAATAAATAAAAGGGATGAAACAAATATCACGTGACTTTTTAAAATGCTTCTAGACTATCCGTTTAAGCTTTTTGTGGTATTCTTAGGGCTCAGTAGATGTTCTCCTACATGAGCAAGCCTAGTAATTACCAAAAAAGCACTGATCAATGCCTCGATCAACATACAACTCAGATTCTTGTGCAGGCTTTCGTTATAAGCCGCCTGGACTACTGTAACAGTCTTTTTTATGGCCTTCCTTCAACCCAATTGAGGAAATTACAAGCTGTTCAAAACGCGGCAGCCCGGCTTATCTGCAATACTCCTCGGTTCGATCATATCACTCCTGTCTTATATGATCTTCATTGGCTCCCGATTAAGTCCCGCATCGACTTTAAAATCCTTCTTATTACATACAAGGCCCTAAACAATCAAGCTCCGACGTACATTAAAGAGCTCCTCTCAATTAAAAAACCCACCAGTTACAACCTTAGATCCCACTCTGATCCGTGTCTACTAGAACGCCCCAGACTTAAAACTCTTAAGAACTTGGGTGATCGATCATTTTCTCTCGCTGCCCCAACTTTGTGGAACGCTCTTCCCAAAGCTATCAGGATTGCATCCTCAACAGCTACATTTAAAAAGTTACTAAAGACATTTCTATTCTTAGAAGCTTTTAATTAATGCTTGTGCATGTTCCATTTTTACTTCTAGTTATCGCTGTGATACTTTTATAAATTTTTAACATTATTGTAATATATTTTTATCTAATATTTATAATTTGTATATTATTTGTTACTGTAAGAAGCGCACTTGAACATATCCACATGAAAAATAGGCTATACAAATGTAATTTCATTATCATTATCATTATCATTATTTGTGTGATTTATAACAGCGGACATTCTTAGCCGTTTTCGCGAGATGTGTTCCATAAGTAGCCTGTTCTCGTGACGTATGACTAAATAATGATAAAACTAAATAATGAAAAAAAACAACGTTGGTCGCTACATTTAAACATTTCATATTAGCCGGTATAGCTAAACATTGTTTATTTTCATTAATTAAGCGCGTATGCGTTGTTGGAGTTGGCAGGAGGCGTTTTGGAATTTTCCGAGAGAACAGGCTACTTATGGAACACATCACACGATCGCATTACCGGTGTTTCATCCCTTCTATTAATATCTATTACCCTCGCGGCCTCGCCTTCTGCTCGCGCCCGCAATCCTTTCTGTTACTTTCGTTGGAACGTCATGTAATATTTTCGTTTTGTCAATTTATTCGCCATATTTGAACAATCGTTCTAATCCAGCCTAGACCTAGGCCTTCTATTTTTATTTATATTTTTTAATATTCAGCGCTTTTTCACATGAAAAGACTGGGACTAGGTAATTTGGGGGCGGGACGGAGGAAGGACACAAGCTTCCTCCGCCCCGCCCCCAAATCACCTAGTCCCAGTCTTTTCATGTGAAAAAGCGCTGAATATTAAAAAATATAAATAAGGGACTGGTCATTATTTATGGTGGGGGTGGCACCGAAGAGAAAAGGGTTGGGCAAACGAAATTTTGAGTGAGTAAAAGGTTGGGTAAATGAAAAATAAAACAACTCAAGGGTTGGGTAATAAAAGTTTAATATCATTTCCAAAGCATGACTCACTCAAATATTGGAGACTAAAAAGCAATGTCAACAGTGATATGTCAATACAATATGTAAATCAATCGGAGTCAATATCTTGATCATTTTCCGATTTGTTGGGATCGAGACAAATGGTGTCTCCAAAGAAAGTACATGTGCAGACAAGATGCAACTTTAGACTGCAGAATATTTCACAAGCCATTATCAAACTCATGTCACAGAAGTGGTAAAGGACATGTGTGACAACTGAATGGTATTCGTTTGTGAAGTTTTTGGCCAGGGGTGGGTATTTATTTTTTTAATAGATATTTGAGGTTGGGTAATCAAATTCTTCACTTTTTAATGGTTGGGTCAGCAAAATTTTTGCCACGAAAAACATTTTTCTTCGGTGCCACTCCCCCCCATAAATAATGACCGGTCCCTCAGACTAGAAGGCCTAGGTCTAGGCTGGTTCTAATCAATGTTTCTGAGCATATATAAGCGCCCTGTTTGAAGCTATTCCTTCTAAATGCAAGCTCTTATGATTTATACAAGTAAGTGCAATAATTTAAATTTATTACGTTATGATGTTTTATTCATATTACGTTTAATTATTAAATATGTTTTATTCATATTCATAACACAGCTCTTAGTTGGACTCCCTGTGGTGTGACTTCAAAATAGGAACGACCGTATATGGAACTCTTTTTTGAAACAAAAGTGTGAACTTTGCTTTAGTTGAAACCATAAAAAGAGTTCTAAAAGCCAAAACGATACTTGGATGTGATGTTTCAAAAGAAGATAATGTAAACTTGTTTTTCTTCTAGCGGTATTCTGGAAGTTTTTTGAACCGCCGTACGCGAGGTTCGATCGCGAACATTGGGATATGATATAAAGTTTCCTCAAAAATTTGCAGTGTTTTCTCCACAATCTAGCAGCACTTATGACAATAAAGATGACTTAAATAATGAGCTTTCTATAAGTGAAATGAGCAGGGCCGAAACTCCAAACATACCACTATAAAAACTGAAATTTGAACGGGCATTTTGCGAAAACATCCGACGATAGTATTAAGGGAAGCCTCACATATCGATTCTGTCCACGAGAAACGTCATATGTTCGTTTCTCTGGAGACCCCCCCCCCCACCCCTTAGAAACGTCACATATAGTTATCGATATTTTGTTCTTATAGATATAGTACACAAAAGGTAATTTTCTACTATTTTCTACGGTCGGCTATTGGCGATACTTCCGCGAGGAATATGTCATCTGCTGCTGACATATTTTTTTTCATTGATATATATAAACTTCAAAATTTCCAACGTTTCTCAAAACAACTTTTTTTGCATGAAGTATTGATAATTTTAGCGCGTTATTCAATGCAAGGAAGGCATAATAATAATATAAATGTATACGTATATAGAACAGGCACGGTATTTGATGTATTTTTTTATTCTGCAAAGATAATTCCGAAATGTTAAGGCTTTCGAAAAAAAATTTTCCCATGATGTTTACTGAGAAACGTCACAGCTGCAA